CATATTAGAGGCAGAAACAGGAGTTAGGAGGGGTAGAGGTAGACCTAGATTAGATTACTGTTCGCAAATAGTTAAGGATGTGGGTTGTTCTAGTTTTAGGGAAATGCGAAGTTTAGCTCAGGATAGGAAAGCGTGGAGGTACGTGTCCAGCCAGTCTTAGGGACTGACGACCTTATGACCTTATGATGAATAGCTTTTACCCCCATTTAGTCCTACAGAGTTTAATTTATTTTATGTCATGCCGCCACTTTAAGTTTCAAATAAGCAACTCTATTTCATTCCTGCAGTGCTAATGTTTAAAAATTGCCAAAATACGTATTTGTGTTTAATTACAATAAAGAGCATAAGTCCAAGTTTCTGTCTTTACCACCCCCTTAGGGATTGAATTTTGAAATGTCGTTCCTTAATCCTTATATGTATATCATAGAGGAAACATCTGTGTAAAATTTCAGCTACCAAGGTCCAAAGGTTCAGCCTGGGATTTCATATAAGTCAGTAGGATTTTTATTTTTTATTTTGGTCACAAGACTTCATTTACTACATGAATGTTACACTACTCCGTTATTCTATTTTACTTTATGTATGTACTTAGCCTAAAGAGATTGACATAGTTAATTATAAAATTAAACTTTTGAAACGAAAACCTACTTATTTCTTATATTGTACAATACAGAACGTACTCATATGTATAAACATGGACAGAACGTGATATCAATGTTGTGACCACACATTTATTTCTGTCAATCAATAATCGAAATCTATATCTCTCATAATTACCAATTTATAATAGTTAGATCTTATCGATAACTGTTATTGTGTTGTGACTCATTGGGCTTTCGATTGGTAAAAGGCAATATTTTCTAGTATGCACATTGTTTTGACATAGTACCTACCAATTACGACCTAAATAAACAATAACTATTGCATTTTTATCGTCGTCAATACGATAACAAGATTAATCCAATCGTATATAAAAAAAAATACTGTTCAACTATGAATGTAAGCAAGAAATGAGAGATTGGATTATTTATTAACGGATTAAGGAAGTTCTACTCAAAAAATCATATCGTATATAAAAAAAAATACTGGTATGCAAGGGAAGAAAAAGTAGGGAGAGAGCGAATGTAAAGATAGAAGACGAAAGATTAGAAGAAGTGGCTAATTTTAGGTATCTGGGAAGTCAGATAAGTCAGGACGGAAGGAGTAGTAGGGATATAATACAGAGGATAGCGCAGGGTCGAGTCGCCTTCAATAAAAGAAGTCACTTCTATACTGGCGAACGATTAATTTAGAAATTCGAGAAAGATTGTTAAAGTCGTATCTTTGGAGCGCGGCGCTGTACGGGTGCGAAACATGGACGGTAGGCGCAGCGGAAAAGAAAAGGTTAGAAGCCTTCGAAATGTGGTGTTATGGGGGAATGATGAGGATAACGTGGGTAGAAAAGGTTAGAAATGAAGAGGTATTAGAAGGAATAGAACAGAGGACTCTATGGAAGTCAATAAGAAATAGGGAAGATAGTTTGGTAGGACACCTTCTCAGGCATGAAGGTCTAATCAGAGACATATTAGAGGCAGAAACAGGAATTAAGAGGAGTAGAGGTATACCTAGATCAGATTACTGTTCTCAAATAGTTAAGGATGTGGGATGTCGCAGTTTTAGGGAAATGCGAAGATTAGATCAGGATAGGAAGGAGTAGACGTGCGTTTCCAACCAGTCTTAGGACTGGTGACCTTATGATGATAATATAAAACAATACTTATTATTACAATAACGTACTGTTTATTCACAGTTACTAAATTGTAGTTGGTAGCAATGATACAAAAAGCACCAAATGAGTCAATTTTTTCAGGATGTTTTGGAGATCATTGCAAATGATATTTCACCAATTTAAATAAACGAGAAATAACAATTCTTACAATTTTTCGACCAGTTGACGACTTTTGGTATAACGATTTGCAATTTCAAAGTTTAGTTAAAGCTTTTTCCTGAATTCGTTAGTTCGATTTGTGAAAGAAATCACCTCTCCCATGGCCAAATCCTGAATCAAAATTCGATGAAGGTTAAAATAAGTCAGATTTCAAATCAGCCATCATTTCACTAATTCGCTGCCCTCAATGCATGCTTTTAGTCAACGAAAAACTGATGTGGACACCTATAATGACTGGTCTCCATAAATTCCTTGCAATTTTTCGTTGATTGAATTCGCAGATTTACCATCATTATCAATAAGATCTTTTTTGAATTTCCAAATTTACTGATTGCGAGCAAGTTCTTTTGGTTATTTTAGTAGTATGCATACTTGGAGCACTGTTTGGTTAGAGTGTGAAATAAGGGCGATAGGTACAAGAAAAGGTACGAAGCCTTTGAAATGTGATGTTACACTATATAGAAAAGGTNGAGATTCTACGTACTTTTTTTACATAATTACCACTTCTTAAAGCTTAATTTATACCTTCTATCTTCCAATATTTTCAGGAGCGCTTTTCTATGTTCATTTTGTGATATTTGAAATTTTGCATTTTTTTGCTGTCATCTGTAGTTTGGTGTTTGTGCTTTGAGATACTTCCAGTTAGTCTTCTATGTAAGATTGATATCTTCATTGTCTTTTAGTCTCTACTACTATTTTTTGTGTTACTTAAGCTACAAGTAAGTTGCCGTTTGATGAATTTGATGAGAATGCAATTTTCATGATTTTTCCTTTTTTATCATTAATTATTCTGTATTGTTGGGATGAATTTGGTATGTATATACCTGCGCATCTAATCGTAATTTCGTTTAAACATTAACAACTGCTGTGTGAATTTGTGTCGATTTGTTGTGTATGTACATATGACAGTAATTAGCATTAACAGAAGTCGATGACTGGTTGTAATAAGAAGCGGGCGTTTACAGTTTGAGAACAAGGTTAGTCATTCAAAAGCGAATCGCCGAACAAAATGTGTGTACGGTACAATCTTGCTAACGTGTGCATACTGATCCGTAACGATCGAGATCAAGGTGACCAGCAGCACTTCATGAAGGTTGTAGCATGCAGTACCTACCTACCCACCTATCTGCTTACTTACCTACCTACCTACCCATTAATTATATAAAGGACATAAATACTACACATTAGTACTAACAATAGGGGCTTCTTTTAAATGGACCACGAGTTTTTTTTTAATTGCAAATTAGTGTGGCAATCAGTGGGTAGGCTTTTGGAACTCAAAAGTTGGACCTTTCAAATTGCTATTATATTAACGCTTATGGGTAATGACAAAGATGAATTAATTTAATAAATTAATAGCAACGAGCTGGGAGGGTCCAAAGTCATTAAAAAAAACATAGTCAACCCAGCTGCGTGATGTGGTCCAGTGGTTATAGATCATAAGTTCAGGTTTTCTGTGGTAATATTGAGTCGTGTAGTAGCAGTAATATTCCACATAGAACCTTTCATTTTATCTTCCTTCCTAGCAATCACCCAGCATCTATCTTTGCGAATCCTGAAAAGAGGTTGAAGGCGTCTTCCACCTTACCTTACCTTACCTTACCTTTTTTTACAGAATACTCAGTTTTTAAAGCTTACTAAATTATTTCCTTCGTTCAGTAGCGCGCTCATTTGAAGAGCTGTTGAAAAATCATTAACACCAGTGAATTCCGCGCATTTTTGTATGTAAAGGTCAAGTTTCAGAGCTTTATAGATATTTTCCATAACCTCGCAATATTAGGTGCGCTTTTGTTGGTTTCTATAAATTTTCTGTATTTTATGCAGTAATAATTCTGTAGCAAGCTTATTTGAAGAGATATTTCAAAACCGTTGGTACCATTAAATTCTAAGCATTTTTATACATAGCAGTCAGCTTTTCAGAGCTTAGTAGATGTTTTCCACTTGCTCGCAATTTTAGGTGCGCTTTTTTGGATTAGATAAATTTTCTGTATTTTATAGAGTAATAATTATGTAGCGGGCTTATTTGAAGAGATATTGGAAAACCGTTAGCACCATTAAATTCTACGCACTGTTTTACATAATACTCAGCTTTGAGAGCTTTGTAAATCGTTTCTACTTCCTTGCAATTTCAAGTGCGCTTTTTTATGTTTAGATAAATTATCTGTAGTTGTCCAGTAATAATTCAGTATCGGGCTTATTTGAAGAATCTTTCGAAAACTGTTAGCACCATTCATTTCTACGCACTTTTTTACATAATACTCAGCTTTGAGAGCTTTGTAAATCTTTTCTACTTCCTTGCAATTTTAGATGCGCTTTTTTATGTTGGGATACATAAGTTCCTCTAATAATTTAGTTGTGAGCTTAACATGAGAAAACCTTAGTTCGAGTCTATAAACGATCTTGAATAATTAGCAATCACTCTTGTTTTCTTTCCAACATTTTTGTGAGTTAAAGACGGTAAAAGGTATTATTAAAACTTTTTCAAACTAAAGTCGCGGTTGTTGATATTAATTACTTGGCCATCTATTAGTGTATTGTAAATTAATGGTTAAGCAGAAATATCTACCAAGCATTACAGGGACCTGACAGACGTATAGTAAAACTGACAAATTACCTGTAATAAGGTTATGTTTATATGGGTATTTAAATATACACAACCCAAATATTGCTTTTAAAATGCAAAAATATGAGAAATTAGAAAAAATCGGTGAAGGTACTTACGGCACAGTATTCAAAGCTAAAAATCGTGAAACTCATGAAATAGTGGCTTTGAAAAGGGTAAGGTTAGATGACGACGATGAAGGTGTACCTTCTTCAGCTCTAAGAGAAATTTGTTTATTGAAAGAATTAAAACATAAGAATATTGTTCGCTTATACGATGTATTACACAGTGATAAAAAGTTAACATTAGTGTTTGAGCATTGCGACCAGGATTTAAAGAAATATTTTGATAGTTTAAATGGAGAAATAGACTTGGATATTGTGAAATCTTTCATGTACCAACTTCTAAGAGGTTTAGCTTTTTGTCATAGTAATAATGTACTACATAGAGATCTGAAACCACAAAATTTGCTCATCAATAAAAATGGAGAACTTAAACTTGCTGACTTTGGTTTAGCAAGAGCTTTTGGTATACCAGTAAAATGTTATTCTGCAGAAGTTGTTACGCTATGGTATAGACCCCCTGATGTACTCTTTGGTGCTAAATTATATACAACATCAATAGATATGTGGTCTGCAGGATGTATTTTTGCTGAACTAGCTAATGCAGGTTGGATTGTGTAATCTTTTTGGTAGTATATTGTAAGATTTCTTTTAGGAAGACCTCTTTTCCCTGGATCAGATGTAGACGATCAGCTAAGACGGATTTTCAAACTGCTTGGAACCCCAACTGAAGAGACTTGGCCTACAATGACTCAGCTACCTGATTACAAGCCTTTTCCACTTTATCAACCCAGTATGAGTTTGGCTCAGGTAAGTGAATTGTTAACTGTTATACAAAGTTATTGGAGTTTTATAAACTGTTAGATGTTTTAAAACAAATGGAAGGTAATTGTATTTATAAATAAGTGTACATGTACTTTATCTTTTAACACAATAATTCTCCAAATAATTCCAAATTACAAAACAATCTGGCAGTTATAAAATTTAATAACGTTGTCAATAAATGAATTTGAATTTGAATAATATTTCTTTGGCTTTGGCTATAACTATGAATGTTTTAAAACTGATCGAGTGTTCAGAGGTAAAATAACTAACTTGGACACTTATGATATTGAGTAAAGGAAAATAACATCTAAAATTTCATCTAAAGGTTGTTCCAAAGTTGGGTAGTAGGGGTCGAGATCTTCTTCAGCGTCTTTTGGTATGTAATCCAATGCAACGCATTTCTGCTGATGATGCAATGGCCCATCCATATTTCACTGACTTGAATCCCACAATAAAAAATGATAGATGCTAATAATTAAAGTAATTGTGTTCGTTGCATTTAGAACTATAAGGACTAAAAGCATTTAGTGTCGGTTTTTGCTAAAAAAAGAACAGGACCAATAGTACTTCACAAAGATCAATTTTTCCATATATAAATGAATATAATTTTTACAATCGAGTATGTATATGTTTTTCTTTACTGTACGTTAGAATTGAATTAGGCTTCTTTTTTTTAAGAACAATAAGTAGAACATTGTGATATTTCACCAAAGTTTGTAAAAATTTTTTGTTTATTATGGATATACCTGGTACATTTTATTAGTGAAGTATATTGTATGTATAAATGTAAAGTTTAAGTACGTAAAAATGATAAAACAGCATTTGTAAATAATAATTTTACATTTATCTATTTATGTCCAGCGTGTACTTAAATAAATAATTTCCATAAGAATAGGATTGCAATAATAAAAAGTCCTTTTTTCGTATTAATTTATTTGTTTAATTCAACAAGCTTACATCTATGCAACATTTCGGCACACAAACACATCCAGAGAACACAATTTAATTATTAATAGCGAAAAAATGTTGACATTTAGCTTGCAAGGACACAACAACGCGATGGAGTTGACAAAATATTCTGAACAGCTAAAACCCTTAAAACTGTATTTAATAATAACCGTAATTATAGAATTTTTTAATTTGACGCTACAAAAGGACAAACTTTGCAAGTGTTTTTTTGTTGTTATTAATTATATGTCGCTTTTAATTAAATTTTAATAGAGTTAAAATTAGGGATACCTTTGTTTTGTTAGGTAGGTAAATTATAATTAACAAAAAAATATTAGTTATGGTTTCACTTCTGTTTTTAATTCAATCATGCAAGTTGATATCAAAAAATTGTTTAAAATACTATCAAGTAACGTCACATATGCATAAGTAAAGTAATTCTCTCATAAATAAACAATTTTTGTAATTACCGACTTATTTAATTTATTTTGAAATTCTTGAAACTTCAATGTAAATCAATAAAAACCTTGCAAATTGTAGAATCAAATTAAAATGCATCTAAATAGTTTTTATTGGATGTATGTATTGCTTTTGTTAAATAATTTCTTATTGCTTTAGGAAACTAGAACTCAATATTAAAGCACTTTAATAAGCGCAAATGCAACACCTCTGTCTTGAATTGCTAACAAGCTTTTAATGACGTATTTTTAACTTCTTGTTTTTTTTCTAAACTTAACATAGTGTATATGTATAAATGCACTTTAGATGATTACAAAGCTCTTGTTATTATTATTTTTTATTACTAGCAATTAACCGTGACGAGTTCTATTTCACCCTGAATTCTATATTTATGAATTGCATTTCCTATTACGTTACTTTTCCTTAACATTTGATACTACATGATTGTAATTAACGTGGGAAGATTGTTTGGAGAAACTATTAGAAGTTCCCAAAAAACATGAAAGAGACACTAAGGGGGATGTATACCATTTTACAATTGACTTGACTAAGTAAATCTATCAATTATGATAAACAGTATTTCCTTAAACTTTAAAGATCTGCAAACATTTTATTGAAATTCCAATACAATTTTGAATGTTTTTAGTACTTTTTTTTAAAAAGTTCATTTCAATATAACAAATTAAGTCATTTGATCTTGAGGTATCATTATGTATGTATTAAATGTTTTGCTGTACTAAAAATAGTAGAGCATTTATCGGCAACATAAAACATAAGTCTTTGATCAGGAGTCATGATTTTCAATTTCAGTTACAGTTATCGATAAAGTATAAGGAAAAGCTATATTTTCTACTCAATTACGTGTCGATAAATATTTCGTTTTGTTTGTTATAAAGTTAACTATTTTTTATGTTTTCCATGTTTTCTTTCATACAAAAATAAATTTCCATTATGCAAAAGCTGCCAACAAAAATGATTCAACATATAATTCAGTCGTTCTATTATTACAAGTCTTAAGTACGTATTTTTATACTTTTTTGTACTTTGCTAAATTGAATGGCAAAGCTGTTAAAAATGGACAATAAACTTTAACAACATGTGAACGTGAACCTTACGACCTAAATGCCATATTACAAAAGGTATACTTTATATTCTAAATACCGTACGTGTACATATACATGTAATAATATTTTTATGCAAAAACAACGATAATAAAATGGCCGTTTCTTGTTTATAATGTGCCACTCTGGCTGAAACGTTGATGCTGCTTTTTTACGTCTTCCAGCTGAATAAGCTAAAAGTTCAAATTTCAACATTATAATTTTATCATTATTATACGCCCCCCCCCCCACAAAAACATGTCAATAACTTTGATAAATCAGAATTTATATTTGTTCCGATAAGATCATTTGTAAAATGATGCCTTTTTAAAGCATAATGATTTATTCGTATTAGGATGTTATTTATCTATGAACTTTAAGCATAATTAATATTTTGAAAACTGTTAAAATTTCTTTCCTTTGTAACAAAATCATAGGTGTATGTGGTAATTATTTAGAATGGGTAAACTATTACCTTTTCTATTGGAATGCAAGATAATTCGCCTCCAACGGGTTGTATGTTTGGAAGAGGTGTGGTAGGGGTGACAGGAGGTTTGTTGGCCTTTTCTTGTGCTTCTCGAGCTCGCCTTTCTTTCAATTTCAAAGAAAAAATTGCTACCGACCTTGCCCTTTTCATCAAACTCTGCCTGACACGATTTTTCTTTGCAGCTAAATCTTCAGCAGATGCTGAATAAAATTAAAATCAAACTCTCAGTAAATTGTGGCGAATATAAAACTTATTAAAGTAACGACGGAAATTACTTATTAATTTTTTTCTGATATGTACGTTTTAAAATCAAAACTGTCCTAATATTTCCTTTACTTAACTATTTAATAATGGCCATTTTGATTTTTGATCCTCTCATACCGAAAGGACTCGTCTTTTTTGTGCATATTAAGACTTACATTTTAATTGATCGTCCGCCTCCTGACTAGAAATACTACGATTGCTTTCGCCTAAAGCTTTTTCTACAAGTTCCGGTTGAGCTTTAGAAGAATTTCCGCTGCTGGGCGAGCGAGGTCTGGCTGTCCACGTAGGACTACTTCGAAGTAAATCCGAATCAGAGCTGGAAGCCTCCTACGAATATAAACAACGTTAAAGATAATTCGAGAAAAAATAAAATGAATAACTTGCCTTGGCTATGCAATCACTACTTTTATGTACGTCAACTTCGTCTTTCAATTTTCGGACCCATTCTACACCTCCTGTAGGGCCAACCGTTAGGTGATAACTATTATTACCTTCCAACTAAAAAACGGAAAACGAAGTTAAAGCAATATATTTTTATATTTGCTTACCTATATTGATTCAATAAGTACAATAGACTTACTGCTTCTGGTGGAACCCATTCTTTAGACTTTCTCGGTTTAAATGGCGGTATTTGCTGTATACTGTCAGGTGTGATTGATAAGACTCTCCGATTTTCACTGTTAGAATGACCAGCCGGTGTAACAGGAGTAACCACTGAAGAAGACGTTGAAGTTGTTGATGATGTTACAACTGGAGTACTAGGAGTTTGAGAAACAGAGCGACTGGGCGAAGGTGTTGCAGTACTGGTGAGGGGCAATGTGTTAAGAGATGAAAGGAACGATGGTACTTTTTTCATCTGTTCCATAGGTTGTTCGGATTTGTCTTTTTCATCGAACGTTTGCTTGGAAGCAGATGTAGTTGGTGAAGATCTATTTGGCTTAACAATAAATCTGTAGAAAATAACAGATAACATTTATGCACTACGAGTAGAATATTGAAATTACCTGCCAATTCGTTTTGTGCTGGGATCAAAAGGTGACGCTGTCCTTGTATTCGATAATCGACTGGCTTCCCTTCGTGCCCATTCAATTTTAGCCATTTCGGTTGCTAGCCATCCAGGAATTTCTGGTATTGCACAAGTTATAGCAAAACGAATGCCAAGCATTATGTGCTAAAATACAAGAAAAATGGGCTAGAACAATTATTGATACTTTTAAACTACAGCTTGTAACTTACTTCAAGGCAGACTATTAGTAAAATAGTTTGAGTCGCTGTCATATCAGGAAACATTCGATGCACTTGTCCTGAAAGGCCAATTAGAGCGCAATTTACCAGAACAGCAATTATACTCATATATTCCATGCAATTCTAAAAGGAAAAAAATCATAAAACTGTACCATACAGTAAAACAAACTATGACTTACATGCCATGTTCCAATGTTAGAAACTCTTTGTCCAAAAGGCCTCTGACACACGTAAACTAGTTTAAATGCATCACTTCGAATTTCTATCAAATTATTCAACATAGCACAGAGGGCAGCTGGTGGAAAAGCCGAAGAAAAAAGTATAACGTAACCCAACTGAACAGTCATCTCTAAATGATCAGCAAAAGTGCCATTATACTGCAAATAAAAACGCAGTGAGTCTACATACATTTCTGTTTTTAAAAATCAAACATAATTTACCTTAAACAGAGTACTTTCAAATTCAGCTTGACTCATACTACGTTTCGTTTTAACTTTCGTTGTATCAGAAGAACTCTCTTGTTCATCAGAGTCTTTTGAATTTGTTGAAGAGATGGAATCTCTTTTAATATCGCCCGGGAGGGACTTTGGATCAGTTGGGGTCAACACACCCCACAAATCGAGACTCAGTTTAGCCAAACGTAAATGTTCCAACATATAAGGCCATGCAGATTCTTTCAGATTTCCAATTATTTGTCGCGAAATTAATAGAGCTGCCAGTTGCTAAAAATTAGTACACAGTTAATAACTTAGCCTATGTAAAATTAATCATATCATGCAACTATATATTACATTTTATTATTGTTGTATATACTTATTATAAATACTAATTTAAAAAAAAAGTAACAAAGTTTAAACTCAAATTAAACTTTCAAATTTTTAACTTTTTCAGTAAACACAGTTATACAAATTCAATAAGCATGTGCGTTAACTATTCTCATGCAACAGTGTTTTTATACAAATTTACATCTTACCTCTTTCAATCGAGCCTGATCTTGTAGGTAAAATGCAATGTAGAAGAGTGAGAGAAATGAGTTTACAAATTGAAACTGCAAAAAAGTGTCATAAGCATTTTCATATAGAAGTATCTGTACAACAAAGAAATTAGTAAAATGTTAAATTATAACAGTCTATTTACACTACGTTTGAAGCAAAAATGGGGTGAAAATAACTATCAAAAGACTAGTAATTTCAAGGAGTTATTTTCTTCGCATGTTTGCTACTACTTTTGCAGCAAAGAAAAGTGCATGTGTCATTAATAGAATATGTAACTTTGAAATTATTGGATACATATTTTATTACACTGTTGTAGAACGTGTTAAACAAGCATTCTAAAATGCAAGTGCATGCAAGGGAACAATTTTTTTGAAGTTACATCTCTTTTGGAGCGTTAAGTAAAATTTTAACATGAAACGGAAGTTGTGTGCGCACGGTATGAAATAAATAGCGTGGCTACGTTTTAAATATCCTCATTAAATTAAAGCGTAATTCGGCTATACTCGAAAAGGTAAAATCGAAAAGATTATTAAATGATTGTGCTGATTCAATTTGCCATCATACTGTGTTGCACATCACTACATTTACGTTTTCTTTTGGTTTAGACTATTCTTTTTATAGAATTGAAGTTTAATACAGTTCTTGTCAGAAGTAGTGTCTTTAATTCTTTTTATGAATGGCTTCAGAAAAAGGAGACTGCATATAATAGTACTGTTTGCAAGTTAAAAAAGATACATTTACATGCGTGAATTAATAGAGGAAATAGAGGTAAGCGGGAGGCTTTTTAACTGACTAATACTAACCACAGCAACTTTTCCTATAAGGTGATTTTCGTATTTTGTTTCAAGACGGTAATTTTCTGGCAGCATGGCAAACAACAAACACGTTAAAAAATTTAAAATCCAGGTTAAAATATTCTACATAGTATTGTTAAAAGTTAAAATATCTACTTTTTACAAGTTAGTAATCGAAAACAACATCAAATAAAAACATTACAAAAGTTCTACAAACAGTAGAAAAAGTTGGTATTGAAAAAAGGTATCGTTTAATAATTTACCTTTATCGTTAAGCCACAAAGCCACTTTGAAATAAGCTTCGTCCATTAGTGATATAACTATAGCCAACATTACTTTAGGCACATAGCCTAGCCAAAGAGGAAATTCTCTGCTTTCAAGGTGACTATCCCACCAATCCTGTATAAGATAGAGAATTTGTTTTATTAATTTTGAAAAATTTGAAGAATAGATCATCTTAGATGTCATTAAACATATTTGAATGATTTTTTTACGCAATTTAAAGTAAATATTAACTGGTAACGTCTTTACACGAATATTATCAATTTTGTTCGTCAGTTTGAATTCCCATTTTAATTTTTCTGTTTTATTTTTTATTCATTGTCGTTAAATATACCCCAAAAAGGAGAATTTACCTGAATATGAAATGATACGGTCATAACAAAGAATACTGTTGCCAAACATACGGCTATTGTTGGAATTGTAACACAATAACGAAAAACATGTCTTCGCCAAGCTGGTTGCCAAGGCTCTAAACGCCCCGTAACGGGACTTGGCTGAAGTGGACCCTACAATATCATAATGTTAAATAATAGTTGAAAATAGTTACAATATTAAATAATAATTGATTGTGAAGAAAATAATAAGTAACAAGTATCTTACTGTAAATAATGGTCTTGCATCAGCAAGTAAATCAGTTCTCTGGTCGAGTGTTCCCCAGCGAAAAGCCAATTCTGCTGAATATCGTTTCCAAGCTTGTAAATATGTAGTTACCCAAACTATATTGAATATTGAGAAAATTACATATCCTATATCTTCCAAATTTTGATGTTGACCATCACAGCAAAGCTGAAGGCAAAGAACTTGTAGTATTTATAAAGAAAGAATCAAGAAAAATTACCCAAAAAATAAATCCTACAAGGGCAGGTATACTTAAAGCTGTTGTGTAGTGACCCAACCATGCAAAATACATAGCAATCTTCACACCAAAGTAATTACAAATATCATCTAAAAATTATTGTATTATACAGTACTGAGCATCGATGAAGTGTTAGTACTTTTATGAAATGCTATTAAATCATTAACATAATGGTTAACTGAGTGAGAAAATGTCAAAAATGAAAAAGTAAACTGCTTGCCTAATGGCTGTCTGGAAAAGAAGTCTCGAACCCAACTGTTTTGTAACTTCTCTAGTACCATAATTTCATGTAATGGATAAACCTGTATTATTACTCCAGAAACAACACATCTTGGAATAATAGGTTGTCCCTCTACTAAATTTAATTCAGAAAATGCTTCTAAGTCTGATTTCTCACATCTAATGCTTTCTAAGAGTCTAAGTTGTAACCACTGCTTTTCTTGACTTGTGAAAAATAGGTCATCATTTTCAAAGTTTTCAAAACAGTGGGAGTCTTTAATTGCAAATTCCTTTAGTCCTCCTCCTTTGGAAGCCTTAAGTTGTTTTGGAAGATGAAATTCTTCTGCTGCCTTTATTAAACTAGAAAATTCTCAATTAATGTGTCTATGTCACTGACTATTTTCAATAACTTACACAAGAAATGGGGCAGTTATATAAAACGCTGTTGTCTGAGTAGATACATGTTGCCTTACACTTACAGTTAATTCACAACACTCCTTAATTCTATCTAAAAGCCATGAAATCACCGATTCCTTGGCTTGTGATGAAAAAATTACCACTACATCGCAATTCGGAGATGAAACAGTATTCAACCACAAACGCTTTGGAGATAAAAGGTATCCTGCACAAGGAACTCTTCTTTTAATTAGTTCAGAAGCTATAAATTGCATTTAACATGTTATTTGATAAAATAGTTAAGCCATAACTTGTTACCTTGATGCAATGTTTCTTGAGCTTGTTTGATAAATTTCCTGTGTCTCAAAGTGTTTTCACTGCCTCCAGTATTTACAAGTAATTCCTCTTCAGCCATCTGGCAATAATTTTTATTTTAATATATTTTATTGTATTAGTTTTAACGTATTTGCTGTATTTGTTCTTTTTTTGTAAATTAAATGTTACGTCAAGATCAAAACGTCAAAATACAGTAATGTCAAAATTCGAAGTGTCTATTGTGCCATAAACCGGTAGCATTTTTTTCTGATTTCTATATACAGGGTGATGTATTTTTAAGGTGTGATGTACATAATGAACCATTGCGAACCATTTTCGGAAGAGTTGATTTATAATATTACTAACCGTTAATAAAATCGAAAAATATAGAAAACAATAAAAAAACTGCTGATGTTTATGTTGTAATATAAAAATACAACAAAAGATAAAAACGTGCTCAAAACATATTGTTAGATATGATAAGTGTTACTTATGTAGACTCATTTATTTCTCGTATAATGTCTTTCTGATATTTCAAACTTAAGTCACTGAAATCTTCATCAAATTTGTCCCATTCCGGTGATTGCCAGTCGGTTTTTATGTCTTTAGGTTTAGGCATATTCTTCATTGAACACGTGGAAGGAGAACGAAAGAAATACTCATGTTTTAAAGCCTAAAAGAAAACGTAATTTTGAGACATTGTATAAAACTTTGACCGGAAGAGTTACATCTTCAGCAGATGGTCGATTTTTATCATTGTATTGTACACATGTTTTAATTAAATCGACAGCATCCGGTGATGCGTTCGGTACTATTTCTTTCCAATCTAATCCAGGACTAAATTTGAATGTTATTTTATTAAAATCCGGTAAATTTTTCAGCCCAGGCCATGTAGATTCGTTGGGAGTTCCCAGAGTATGTAAGACGATTGCTAATTGTTCTATATCGGTTTCTCCCTAAACAAGAGTTTTTCTTTCTTAGTTTAGTACTAAATATGGTAGCGTAAGATGAGATTTAGATATTACTTACGGCAAATAACGGCATTCTCTTAATCATTTCGGCCATAATACAACCAAATGCCCATATATCGATACTGGGTGTATAATTTCTGGAACCATACAGTAATTCTGGTGCTCTATACCAACGTGTAGCTACCTGATGGGAATATTGTCGCTCCTGATTTTTCATGAATATCCTTGCTAAACCCAAGTCCGCAATTTTTAAAACACCATCTGCAGCAATTAATAAATTTGCGGGTTTTATATCCTGTTTTAAAAATATCGATTTAAAAATAATATATACATATAAAAGAGGTTTATCACTTACCCTATGCATCAGTGATTTACTGTGCATATATTTTAAACCCATTAGTAACATTTTCATGTAGGTCTTTATTTGAGAAGGGCTGATAGGAGTTTCGTCTTTCAATAAGTCGTACAAACTGGATGGTAAAAATTCCATAGCCAAAATTATGCCCATCCCATGTGGTATAATATCATACAATTCTACAATCTAAAACGAGTGCGTAAGATCATGAATTCTTATGAATAAACAATACAAACATATTTAAACTTCAACACACGTAATGCTAACATTTCCCTCATAATATGCTTTGGAATACCTTCATCTAGGTTCTTGATTATCAATTTTTTTAAAGCTACTTCGCGGCCAGTTCTTTTATCCACCCCTTTCATAACATATCCATGTGCTCCTTCACCGATTCTTCCATTAATTTCAAAATTGTTCATGTTTTATTTGTGATTTTNATCAATTCATTATATTTGAGTGATCCTTCTTGAACCCACATTAAATTTTGGTAAATCGCGTCTGTCCAGTCAGTGTATCGGCTCACTAAATATCCTTGAATACGTAGTTGCTTTCTTACAATCGATGGCTGTACTATGGGAGCTAAAATTTATAAAATGGTATACATTTAGTCTCATTACATATTATTAAATATCTTTACCTTTGTTAAAATTGAACATACTATCTTCGTTGCTGTAATTTTGGTGAAAACCACACACTGCTACATAGATATGGTTATTCGCAATATGGTACAATAGCCACAATTTAAATTTGAATATTTAAAGTGGGGTTAAGTTTGGTTTAAATTTTGTTTTGTGTTTTTATAAGTTTACAAACGTTTTTAAAAATTATGCCAAGAAAGGAAGATAAATCTTCAGTAAGCCGAAAATGGTTTCATTTCCTAATATTTGTTCAATTGAAACATTTTTAGAAATCAAAGGAAAAAAGGCAAAAACGAAAGGAAGAACAGATGAAGATAAAGTTAGCTCAAGAAAAAGTAGACATTGCGAATAGGCTGGAAGATCCTTTAGCAACGTTTCCAGCTTTCCAGACGTTTATTAAAGACGGTTTACTTGTACAATTTCAAACAAAAAAAGTTACTGATTTAGATGAATCTGTACGTGAATGGATCTTTGATTTAACAAAAAGAAATATGAAAGAAAAGTAGATGACTTTTCATATTACATTAAAGACAATAATAGTTTTTAATTTAAGATATGAGACCTGCTCTTGGGGTTGGAATGAAAAGAAAAAGAAAGAAGAGATGATGGACGAGAGAGCATGGTACTTAATAGCAAAAACAGATGCTAATGACTTCATTGGCTTTTCTCATTTTCGTTTTGATATTGATGAAGGCTTAGAAGTGCTTTACTGGTCTTATATGCTGCATTTTAGCTATTGCAGTTTATATATTTAAAATAATTCTTTTTAGTTATGAACTGCAACTGGAAACAATTGTTCAAAAAAGGGGCTTAGGAAAGTTTATGATGCAAATAATAGAACTTATAGCATTTAAAAACGACATGAAAAAGGTCGTTTTAACAGTATTAAAGAATAATCCTAACAGTGGATTTTTTAAAAAGATGAAGTATGTGATACATACACATATTAAAATACTAAATTGATTCAGTCATCAATATATCTTTGTTTCAGTTACAAACTTGATGAATCTTCACCTGAGGATTCTGATTATGAAACTATTCCATATGAAATATTAAGTAAACTTAATAAAAAGTTACTCTCTAATGACTAAAATAAATAGAATGAGAGACTGCTATTCAAATAGTTATTTTAAGTTTGGACAAACAATTATTTTAAGTTTGAATTATAATATTAACACTGTTTTTACCATTTTTACTTATACTTCTTGTTATAAATGCCTCCCAATTTATTAAAACTCCATTTTATATTTTATTAATATTTTTTTATCAACAATATATACAATATGAGCATTCAAGGTGTTTGTGAACCATTGCGAACCATTTTCGGAAGAGTTGATTTATAATATTACTAACCGTTAATAAAATCGAAAAATATAGAAAACAATAAAAAAACTGCTGATGTTTATGTTGTAATATAAAAATACAACAAAAGATAAAAACGTGCTCAAAACATATTGTTAGATATGATAAGTGTTACTTATGTAGACTCATTTATTTCTCGTATAATGTCTTTCTGATATTTCAAACTTAAGTCACTGAAATCTTCATCAAATTTGTCCCATTCCGGTGATTGCC